TATATATATATAATATTTCTTCAGCAGATATCCCATTGCAACAGCAAAGAAATGTCTGTTCATGCTTTATACTCCAATATATGAAGACTATACCAAATTTCTATATAAAAGGAAGATAATTAATTTTTATTTTATATTGGGTCATTTAAAAAGTATCCGCGGTTTTTCATTCAAAAATTGAACAAAAAACCGCGGATACTTTTTAAATGACCTAATATATTATTCTGTTTCTATTTTTATAAAAATAATAACGTGAATGTGATTAGTATCTTCTAGCATAATTCTAATTCGGACTTCGTCCGAGCATAATGTAACTTTGGTCTCTAATAAGCATATATTACATTTCACATCTCACACATATTAATTATGATTCTATAATTAAATCTCATGCGCGCTTTATTTTTTCCGAGCTAAACGAGATTTTTTTCTTTAGAATCGCTTGTGTAAATTGCACAAATTGTCATACCATGCCGAGCAATATTAGTGAGACTAATAAATATATAAATGAGACAAACAATATATGTATATACAAGTCAAATCACAAATAGTTTTATATATTTTATAAATATATTGCCCGAAGTCATAAAAATATATATTTAAAGCAATAAGACTTATAAATCGATCATTTGTTTTGTATGAAATAAAATATAGATGTGTAATATATTCCTACGATGTGTTTTATTTATATTGTACAATTTATAGTTAATATTTGTAGTTTTATTTAGATTGTATTTGGAGAAGGAAAACGAAAAAATATACGAATAAATATATAAAATTCTATATATTTACACATATATATTTTTTATGTGTATGTATGAAATATAAATATATAAATGTAAGAGAGAAAGAAAATTCGTATTTTTTAAGTACAGAATGTACAGATACTACCGGATTATCAACAATTCTCTTCAAATTAATTCAGATACTAGTGATTAATTCAGATACTGCCCACCGTAATGTGTGCCTTCCAACAAGCGACACGATGCGACAAGTAATCATGTCATCTTTGTTTAACATTGGCAAATAACAAGGATATAATGTTCCATTGTGTCATTTGTACCGCTTGTTGGAAGGCATACGATATTACCTATTTCCTTAGTGAACGGTAGAAAATAATTGTTGCGTATGTGACATGTGTTGAATTAAGCATCATTTTTCATGAATTGCGATTGTTTGACGTTTCCTATTAAAAAATTACAATAAAAAAAGGAATACATTTTCAACGGTAACTTGCATCACTTCTGTCAAGTAATATAAGTTCGTCCAACTTAACCTCCGACTCCGACTTCTGAGCATGTCAGTTGATGTCAGCTGTCGAAAGGGAATCTAAGTGTGAAATTTAATTTCTTATTGCAATTTTGCGAATACAAAGAATATTTGACAGACGATTTTGCAATAGGCTAACAGAAACGTCTCGAACGTTGGCATTTTAACAAAGCAAAACGAATCAATAGGTAAGTTTATTTACATGGACTTCGATTTGTTGGTTATTTCTTCGCTATTTTTGACTCGTGAACAATACCGGTGTCTGCTTGTTACCGCAAATGTTGCATCACTTTTTTTGGTCTAAAAAAATCATCCTAAAGATTGCTTAGTTACTTTACGAATTGACATTCCTAATCAATATTCGTCACATTCTAAAATTTGTTATTAACATTTTCTTTCATGTAATACAAATTTACCCTTTTCTTAAATTGTATACTTGTAAAGTGGAATGTCTATTGTAATCAAGTTTTACATATAATTTAAATTTATTCACGATTGTTCAAGAGAAGATCGGTAAGTATCATTACCTCTAAAAAAACACTTATAGAATATAATTACTTATAGAATATAATTTCCATGTTGCTTTTAACAAGCTTTGTAATCCTAAATTATACAAATGACAAGCAGTCTCATTATTTTCAGATGCAATTTTATTTTCCTGCCGTTTCAAACGTAAAATCATCCTAAGATGCTGAGACTATTAAAATTATCGAGGAATCCGTTTTTGAAAGGCACAGCTTTACAGCAGCATGTTATATATCGTACCTTCAAATCATCAATAAGTACTACGTCGAGTACGTTGCATTCAAAAAAGGAGTTGGTGCAGGATGAACTGGCTAAATTCAAGAAGGGCGAAGTTCTTCACGGATTTATAGTAGATGAAGTCTCAAGCGTAGATGAGTTGTTTCTTACTGCAGTGAGGCTGACGCATTTGAGTACAGGTGCGCAGTATCTTCATTTGGCCAGGGACGACACGAACAATGTCTTTTCCATTGGATTTCGTACAACTCCCATGGATTCTACGGGATTGCCTCACATACTGGAGCACACCACTCTGTGCGGCAGCGAGCGATATCCCTGCAGAGATCCGTTCTTCAAAATGCTAAGGAGATCCCTGGCCACTTTCATGAACGCTATGACTGGGCCGGACTATACCATATATCCATTCTCGACACAGAACTTGAAGGATTACCGCAATCTACAGTCAGTCTACTTGGACTCGGTCTTCAAACCGAATTTGAGAGAATTAGACTTCCGACAGGAAGGATGGAGATTGGAGCACACAGACGTCAATGATAAAAATTCTCCTATCATATTCAAGGGAGTGGTCTTCAATGAGATGAAGGGTGTCTTCAACGACAATCAAGCTATTATGGCTGAATACTTGTTGAATTCTATTCTACCAAGCCACACATATTCTGTAATTTCCGGCGGCGACCCCCTTATTATACCTAATCTGCAATATATTGATCTTCTTAATTTCCACATGAAGTACTATCATCCCTCCAATTCGCGTTTTTATTCCTATGGGAATTTCTCTCTGGAAGATCATCTGAAATTCATCAACGATCGATACCTTTTCTTATCTGACAGAATGGACGTTTCCATGTCAGAAGTACCGGCGATCCACTGCTCGCGGATCCTACCAGACATGGCACCATTGCCATCGCGCATTTGTGCAACGACATAACTGACACACAGACTACTTTCGAGATGTACGTGTTGTCACAGCTGTTACTGAAAGGTCCGAATTCAGCATTTTACAAATCTCTAATCGAGTCGAATATAAGTACCGGTTTCGGACCGTTCACGGGTTTTGATTCGCAGTGCAGAGACACGATGTTCGTCGTAAGTCTGCAGGGCGTGAAGCCGGAAAATTTCGAGGAAGTCGAGAATATCTTCAACAAGACCGTGCAGAAAGTTATTGAGGAAGGATTCGAGAAGGATCACGTCGAAGCTGTCTTGCACGGTATCGAGCTCCAGGTGAAGCATCAAACGTCGAATTTTGGATTGAATTTGCTCTTCAATCTGACATCATTGTGGAATCACAACGGCGACTTGGTACAGTCGTTGCGAATCAACGATGCAATGAAGAAACTCAAATCACGAATGAGAGAAAACCCTAAATACCTGCAAAGTCTAATTGAGACTTATCTCAGGGACAATAATCATAGATTGACATTGACGATGACGCCGGATAAAAATTACGAACAAAATAAAATGCTCGCCGAGCAAGAGCTGCTGGAGACAAAGTTAGAGGAACTTTCCGTAGAGGAAAAGGAACAGATATATAAAAACGGAAAGATCTTGCTCGCTGAGCAACAGAAAAAAGAGAACGTTGAAGTCTTACCGACGCTAAAGATAGAAGACCTGAAGGCTGATGTGGAGAGATATAAGACCGCCGACTTGGAAGTATCCGGAGTGCCTCTTCAACTATCCATACAACCCACGAATGGGATTTCCTATTACCGAGGAATACTCAACACACAAGCATTGCCGACTGAATTGAAACAGCTGATACCGCTGTTTAACTATGTTATTGCGAAAATGGGTACGCAGAATTACGATTATAGGAGTTTCGATCAGATGATGCAGCTAAAGACTGGTGGTTTGAACTTCATGAATCACATCGCCGAGCACAAGGAGAGCGAATTGAAATATGAGGAAGGGATTCTCATAGAGTCGTACTGCTTGGATCGCAATTCAAACGATATGTGGAAACTGTGGACGGAGCTGTTCAACAATGTTAAACTTACCGACCTTCAGAGATTCGAGATACTTGTTAAGATGAACGCGGCCGACTTGATCAACGGTATCTCGCACGCCGGTCATATGTATGTGATGAGCAGCGCAGCTAGCTTGGTCTCCCCGATAGCCCGGATCAAGGAAAGTCTTTCAGGATTGCAGTACATCTCGAGGATGAAGAAAGTGGCACAGATGCACGACTTGACTTCTCTGATGCACAACATGAATGAAATAGCTACTCATGTCTTGAACAAGGAACACTTGCGATCAGCCATTAACTTGTCTGAACACCAGAATGACATTCTCAATGATATTCGCGTGTTCTACGATTCGCTGAAGGGTAGTTCAAAGAATCCATACATTATTACCAGTGACCAAAGCATCGATATGAAAGAATGCGGTAATCACCACGTTCTGCCGTACACAGTGAACTATTGCTCCAAGGCCATTCTGACCGTTCCTTATACGAATCCGGATTATGCGGCGTTACGTGTGCTGTCCAAGTTGATCACTTCAGTGTACTTGCATCCAGAGATTCGAGAGAAAGGCGGAGCTTACGGTGGAGGCGCAAGATTAACATCGGAAGGAATTTTCTCCTTTTATTCCTACAGAGACCCGAATTCCACTCGCACCTTCGATTTATTCGATAAGACATATGATTTTCTAACAGGATATCCGTTATCCCAGACCGAAGTGGATGAAGCAAAATTGGGAATCTTCCAACAAATCGATGCTCCCATTCCTCCCTGTAATCGAGGTATGACCAAATTCATAAACGACGTTACAGACGATGATCTTCAAAGACAAAGGGAGCAGCTAAAAGCTGTGACTAAGGAAGAGCTCTTGCACGTGGCAGGAAAGTATCTCAAACCCGATCAAAACGGTATCAGAATCGGCCGTTCGCTTATTGGACCTCCAAATGCGGATATTTCAGATAGGCACAAAGAAAACTGGTTAGTGCTAAATCAGGAAGAAACAGACCGAGCACGAGCCACTGACTAACTAGATGTCAAAAATCATTTTTGATCAAAAATGATTTTATTTATTTCGTATAATAAAGACAGCTTCTCTTTCCTTTACGTTGAATTGCAGATGTGCCGATGCTATTGTTAAGCGTTTCCTATGACACATAAATATTAGCAATGAGAAAATAGCATATGTTACTTAATAATATTAAGTTAATAATGTTAAGTATTATATAATTTAAGCTATTTTTATATATTAAATATATCTCAGTTAAGGAATATAAAATAAATATTTTGTTCAATTTATTTCTCACCTTTGTTCATTCTTACATACAAATACAGATCAAATCATATATTTACTACCAGTAAAAACGTAATAAGCTTTCTTTTTTTTTAGTTAAATGATACATGGATATCGATGCTGAAAAGAAATATTTTGTCGAAGCATTACGCTTCTTTTACGAAACGCAATGGTTACATAATATACCAGTAACCGAAATATTAACTAAAACATCTTTAGATGCAGTCCCCAAAGAATGGCTGGAACAATTGCAAATTTTAGAAAATGAAGAACTTAATAATTTTGTAGTGGAAAAAATAATAAAGGTTAGCTAAGAGAAATCTCACAAATATTCTATAATAGAATATTAAAATTATTAAGTGAATTAATTATTGTTCTAGTCCGATTGGCCTGATTCCTTAAAAACATATGTTGCAAAATGTAAGAAAATTAATAGACTGCCACTCGTACCTGCATTGCCTTCCATAGAACTGCCGCAAAATTTTAAGATAGGTCTAAGTGAAAAGAAACAACATGAAATAATGCATTTGGCTTATTTAGTGGACATACAATGCAAGCCGTATGATATACGAACGATTATTGATTTGGGTGCGGGTTTGGTAAGAGAATAATATTTTTAAAAAAGATGAATATATATATATATATCAGATTTTCGTGCTATAATACAATATTCTTTCAGGGATACGTATGTCAAATGTTATATTATTTGTATGGCTATCGAGTTCTAGGATTAGAAAGAGATAAAAAGAATATTAGCAGAGCTTTTATTAGACAGAAAAAACAGTATCCCGATTCTTTGACTAAAGTTAAATACACGCATTGCGACGTAACGTGTGATTCGGCCAATATAATAGAATCTATTCTGCAACAAGAGTTTCCTGACGTTACAGACGTATGTTTGATTGGTCTACATGCCTGTGGAGACCTCAGTACAAGCGCATCAAGAATCTTCTGCGAAATGAAATCTGCTAAACTTTTCATCCTGATTTCTTGTTGTTACCACAAACTTTCGATTTCCAAAAGTGTGCAGGAAAAACAATACTTTCAAAATTTTCCTACATCCAATTGTTTGCGAGAAACAATCGCGGCATATAATTTTGATGTAGGACAATTCTTAAGAATACCCTTTTTGCGATTAGCGTGTCAAGAATCAGCAGACAAATGGCGCGGAATGTCGCAAGAGAAGCACAACGAACATTCCTTTTACGTTCTCGCTAGAGCCATCCTCGAATTATATTCACGACAAAGTAAGTATTTATCATATAACGTATGTGCATTCTATGGATTAACGGAACATAAATTCTAGATAATTATGTTCTCAATAAGAAAGTTCGGAAAGGCACAAGAAAATCACAATGTTCAAATTTTCAAACTTACGTTAAAGACTCGTTATTAAGATACGATTTAGTACCAGATACGAACAAAACAGGTAATTGATAAATGAGTACTTATGATATATATGAATACTAAGATTAATAAATCACATAATAATATAAATAATATGGAGCCTTCATGTATAAAGATAATGTAATTACACATGAAGAAATGGAGAAGGACATAACGCGAGTATGGGAGGAACAGAGTACAAGATTGAAAGCTGTAGAAATCTACACTGGATTACAAATGATGTTACAACTTCCGGCGGAGTCATTTATTCTACAGGACCGATTATGCTGGTTACACGAACAAGGCTTGGAGGCTGTTACTGTGCCTGTGATGAACAAGTGTATTTCTCCTCGGTCATACGCGATCGTGTCTAATAAATACTGAAAATTATAATAATAATAAATATTAATTAATAAATATTAAGCATAAAAAAAGAGTGTACCGCGTTTAAAACCGTAAGATTTTTAACTTATAATATAAAACTCGAGAATATATTTAAAACACTTTTTTAATAAAAAACGTTATTCTCGACAACACACATACTGTGTACTATTTTCATTATGCCTTGTACTAAAATCATAGATTATAGGATTACATCAATTATCAAATTATATTAAAATTATTCTATAGGAAAATTAGAATGTTAGGAAAATTAGAATGTTAGGAACGTACCATGTTTGAAATATCTATCATTGTAATATATCTTAAATGACAGAGATGTTATAATATTTTTATCTATAAGGATGGATCTGTGATGCCGCTTTGATATTGGTTTTTATTGCACTTGGCGCCTTGTTCATTTGTCCCACTATAAAGTATTAATTTAAATTATTATGCTTATATAATTACAAGAAAAAAAAAAAGGAAATTGTCGGAGAAACACTTACTTGGTGGATTACCCAGTGGTCCTTGTCCTGTTGTTTGCTGCTGATTGCCAGGTCTGCCTACCATCATGTTGTTAGTTACTGGATTTACGCCGGATTGAACCATTTGTATTGAATCAGACTGTGAACATGAAATAAGAACATTACATCTGATAGATGTATTAGGATAGCAATAATATCCGTACAATGGCTCTTTTAAAACTCAGATAAACTTTTTTCTTCTGATTGTAACTTACTTTCAAACCTTTACCCATCCCCACAGCAGCTAAAAGAGCATGAGTATCCGCAGCGCTGCTGGTCTGCGCTTGTGTCGCTCTGGTGCTAACTTCGCCCTCCCAATCTTCGCGTGCCTTATTCGCTATGTCCCACACATGGCTAATCACCTTTGTATACTGCGCCAGTTGTTTCTGCAACCCAATAGAAGCATGCAAGGAACTTAATAAGCAGCAGCATCGACGTGTTCCACTCGCTAAATGGACCGTTTAAAAATCTCTGCATAGCGAACGTTTATCTGAGACATCAAACATCTATGGCTATTTATGTAGCTACAAAATAGGCTTGCATACATAACATCTCAGCCCAAAGCGAATGGAACCAACAAAGCTGAAGCTATCTGATTTAGTAGCTTACATTGTAGTCCTAGTTGTGGTTTAGTTAGCACGTTAACAGAAAAATAAAACATTTTCAGTTAGCTTCAATGTGTCTATCTTAATAGATATTATACATACTTAATTGTCATCAGATATATTCGTAAAAAGTTCTAGTTTTATCGCAATTACATATCTGATATTCGAATGTTTCCAATGAGTTTTACTTGACTTAAGGGAGAATTTATTAAATCAAATAAGAAGTATTAAACGCTTTCAAAATTTTCCTACATTTAATTGTCTGCGAGAAACAATCGCGATATATAATTTTAACGTAGGACAATTTTTAAGAATATCCTTTTTGCGTAGAATATATAGAATTATTTCTTACATGTGATGTGTCGATGTTAACATTTGCGGCCTTGGCTTCTAATTGCATCATTTTCTGCTCGGCTTGAGGCTCCAATTTTGTTCTCAGATAATCAGGGACCAAATCATGCGCGAATGTAGGGATTCGATTCTCCGTGAGTCGTAGCAATTCCTCATCCTTCTCCGGACTCAAGCGTAATGGTAAAACTGTTAGACCCCTGAGATTCAAGGCTTTGTCATGTCCGAGAACTTTTGAGAGGCTGGTCAGCTGTATAAATGACACATTAAATGTAATTTGAAGATATAATGTATAGATTAAACATGCAAGATAGATGCCGTTCTATGATTAGAACTATCAAAGCAGTCCTATAATTTGTAACTTTTTATCAAATATCTGACAATCTGTAATATATAAATGACTGATCAATTTAAGAAATTGTAAGATTTACGCAAAAATATTACTAGGCTAAAAAATCCTGCTTTTTTTAACTGTACATGATCTTCTTTGCTTATTTGTATTGATTAATTTATTTTTCCTTTTTATCTTTTTGTCAAAAATATATATACAGTATTATATTTAAATAAAAATAGATATAATATATATTAATACATCAGTAGTTCTAGCATTAATTAATTAAAGTAAAATGGGATACTTACATGACCCGAGATAAGAGCAAAATTGTCCAGGAAATTCGGCCAATTTAAGGTCTCGTACTCATGCTCTACCTTGAATATCATTGCAGAAATTGCGTTCTTTAGATCGTTCACTCGCATTATTATGGCTTCTAAGGCCGAGTCCTGTTGTTTCTCCTCTCTTTGCATTGCGCAATTTCTATTATTAAATGCGATTGATATGTAAATTCCAACCTATTCTTTTGTTCGTTGCCGTAAAATCACGTAAAATGTGGAAGTGTATCTCATTCATTTAACTCACGCTCATTAACTTCACACCTCACACCTTATACAGTTCACACCTCACTTGGTTTCACGTTCCACTCTCTCCTTCCTTCGGGCTCGAGCTCGATTCGGCAGCCGTGTCCAGATATATACAATATGTCCAATCATTCTAATACATCTCAAACCTAACCTATGCTGGGTTTAGATTATCACTTAAATGTCACCCAGGTATCATTCCATCGTTTGTTTACCGAACGTTAAACAAGAATGACGTAATACAATAGGAATGAACACGTTTCTATATACAATACAATATATTGTACAATACAATACTAAAACTAGGGAATTTGAAAAATAAAGTCTGTTTTTATGACTGACCTTGTACACTTTTTAAAAAATGAAATAGGTATATGTTTAACATTTAACTAAAATAAAAAGAAAGGAATAAAAAACAAGACCTATTCTTAAACGCAAAAAAATATTACGAGACTAGCGATTTAACGTGACAATGCAAGGGATGTGTTTTTTATACAATTGAGCGGTTAATTTCTCGTCTCTTTCTCTTTCCAACATTTAATTATACATCTATTTCGCTTTAAATGCGTAAAGTGTAATGCGTCATCTACAATGCGCAGAATAAGTTGATGGAAGAAATAAGAACAAGAAGTTAACCAATCACAGCCGAATGGGAGAGAAATAATCGATTGTGATCGGTCGATTTCTGACTTAAGTACTTAAATATTTCTTATAGATCTTATACGAAACTTACTCCGCATATTGCAGACGACGCATGACAAAACGTAACTACGAAAAACAAAGAGCTTGTCACCGTGGTCAGCTGTTCGCCAGCTGATCGTCGCGTACACGTGATCGCTCGGGATTACTTGCGAGAATTATTAATCATTGTTTAATTGCAACTCATTTTCGCACGGGACGACATCGATGCACAACGTGATGAAATCTTTCCGCGAGGCCCTCGCAAACGCCAGTAACATCCTGATCCTCACCGGCAGCGGGATCTCTGCCGAATCCGGCGTACCGACTTTCCGAGGTGCTGGTGGTTTTTGGCGTAAATACCAGGCACCGAGTCTCGCGACGCCGGAGGCCTTCACGGCGAATCCTTCATTAGTCTGGGAGTTCTATGAATATCGTAGGCAGTTAGCGAGCAAAGTCAAACCAAATAAAGTAATTCGAAAAATAAAAATGTTAGAAAAACAAATATTAACATTACAAAAGCTTTTCTTTCATCATAATATTCTTTTATCATAATACTCTATTTTTAATGAGCCTGGAAAACAATAGTAAAACGTATTATTCTTGTCCTTTCTTTTTAATTCCTAGGCACACGAAGCTGTGGCAGATTTCCAGAAGCGCAAGATAGCGGAGGGTAAAAGGGTGTCGATCGTCACGCAAAACATAGATAATCTGCATCAAAAAGCCGGGGCGACAGATGTACTGGAATTACATGGTTCACTTTATAGAACACGCTGCACAAAGTGCCGCAACGTTGCTGTTAACGAAAACATTCCCATCTGCCCGGCACTAGCAGAAAAAGGGTACATATAAATTCTGTAATATAATTGCAAATAACATAACGTTACACAAAACCATCTTCTCGTCAGTCTGATAATCATGTATGTAAGCAGATCTCCTGATCCGAACATTATGTCTTCTGATATTCCAATAGAAGAATTACCACATTGCGAAATCAAAGATTGTGGAGCGTTACTGCGACCTGACATTATATGGTTCGGAGAACAGCTGGATGCAAACGTGTTGGAGAAAGCCTGTACGTAATTTTATTTAACAAAAACGTAACTATACATTCAAAATATGATAAAGTAAAATTCTATTCATATAAAGTATCATATAAAACGAGCGAAAGAAAGCAGAGTCTTTGATTAAAAACATAATGTGTATGTATAAAGTATATATATATTAATATGAGAAAACTAAAATATATTTATCATTCACAAATTTTTTTAAACTGCAGATGACATTGTGGAAACGTGTGATGCTTGTCTGGTTATTGGAACCTCTGCAATCGTATATCCAGCCGCTATGTTTGCACCGCAAGTCGCGCAACGTAATGTACCGGTTGCAGAGTTTAATATAGAGGAAACGCCAGCCACAAAACAATTGCAGTGAGTATAGAAATTTTTTCTTTGTTAATAAAAAATGTCTTTTATAATTTAAAAATTTAAGGAAGTTCTCTAAAATAATTTCTATAGTTTAAAGATAAAAAATCTATAGATCTATATAAATAGATATCACAATAGCTTGATAATATAAAATATATTGTCTTTATCTTTTTCATGCATGCATAAAATATAAAATATCTGTATAACTATTTATGGCATAACTATTTATATCACAGCTTCCTCATGCTTTCGTTTACGCCCTCGAGAATGACTCGCATTTGACTGTAACAAGAAAAAGAATATGTTACATTGCATATTACATCTGTTTTTTTTTTGTTTTTTATTCCTGTGCACTAAACTAGACTCTTTCTTTCTCGCTTTCGCCAAATATCAAACATATATCTATTTCATTCTAAGTTCCAAATATGTAAATTAATTTAACTATAGAAAACAGATCTATCACATTAAATCATGAGTCAATAATTTAAAAAAAAAATGAATTATTTTACAGATATCACTTTCAAGGTCCTTGTTCTATCACTGTGACAGAAGCACTGGCGTCTTAAAAGGGTATATAATAAAATAATTGAGCTTTTATAATATAAAAAATGATTACCTCACAGTAGCATACTTCTGTATTCAATCCAATTCTATTTAAGTAATTCAACCATAATGTTTGTTTGGTTGATAGCGTATCATTTGGACCTTTCACTTCTACAATTTTGTACTAAAAAATATATTAGGTTATAATTTTGGAACTTACGTTTTCAAAGAATAGAGGGTATTATTAAGATCTATTTTATATGAGCTTTTTAAAATTGTAATATAGAAAAAAAGATTGATCTACCTGTTTTGTATTTATATTCCACACAATTATATCTGGAAAACCAGCTTTCCAGAGTGGAAAGTTATGAATGAGTCGTTCGCATATTCCAACCACACCTTTTACGCCTAAGCAAAACGCTATTTCCTGAAAAACAAGTGCGATATTTGTAATATGTTTTATTAAAATTTATTAGTTAACTGGTAATATTTATTACTTACCTTGAGGCTGTTACTGTCGTCAAAAATATTACCCTGAGAAATAGACTTGTACTTAGAATATGATTCAAATTCATTCTGCAAATGTTTGCTCAATTTTTCCGAATCATAACCTCGAATATCTTGAAGCTTCTCGTTTATTTCTTTTTTTCTATTCTCGTAAAATTCCGACGTATACAAATCTAACGGCGCATCCTGATACGATGATACCCATGCGCCAGGAACGCTTATGTTATAAATTTCGTTCCAAAATAATGTAGCGAACAGGGTGATTGGAAAGGCACCTTCACAGTGCACGCCTTTGATATAACCCTCGTTTTTGTAGTGATATAATGCCAGATTTTCAACCGAACCGTATACTTGGTCTATTCCCCTGCTGATACACCAAGTGCTCCTGGCAAGATATATAAAAGATATACATATCTTAATCTCTATTTAAACAGTTTAGTTTAATTAAAATTTAATTTATATCTTACCCGCATGCTGTTCCTTCTATCGTCTTGGAATTCTGATGTGTAAGTTGTATTCTGTTAAATACAGTGTCCAACATAATTTTAATAGAATTTTTTGTCCTTTTTTCAATACCGGATTTTCTTTTATAAATTTTGTTTGCTCTGTCCAACAGATTGAATTCATCAACTTCTGATAGGTTCTCACATAATATTGCTTTTGATAAGAACATGAAACTAGCTTCAAAATTTTTTCTATGAAACATTTCTATCTTAATCAATTCACTGTACCATTGGCCTTTTCTATGTTTCATATGACAATTTTGCTCTATTAATATTAGCAAAAATTTTATCGCCTGTGACAGCGTTTCTTTGGATTTTTTAAATGCGTCGATGCTTTTCGACAAGACTTTGAGCCATACGTAACCTGGCATAAAGTGTCTAATATGATGAGGAAGACTAGAATCTTGAAAACTGCAAATGGAAACAGTATAAAATAAATTTACTTTATACAATGACTTCATTTTAAATAAATATATTCTGTCAATTACATTTTTCTTACCTTTCCGACTCTACTTCTAAGAAGAGTGGTAAACGTTGTGCAGCTAAAGTTCCAAGATTCTGTACGGTATCCCATTGTTTTTTCTCAATTGCAGTTAATATATAAGTTAACGCATTTTTAGCTTCAATATAACTGTAAGATATATATAAGGTTCAAATTAAAATAAGGTTGAAAAGTGATAAAAGATGTAATGAATCATAAAGGCAATAAATTTACTCTAGCAAATGTCTTTTGCTGGCGAAGATAGGCAGGTCACTTATAGTTACTTCTGGAAACTCTAGCTCATCCGCCTCAACGTTCCATAACGTTTGAAATACATTCACAAACGTCTCATCAGGATTTCGATTAGGTATCAGCAACGTAATTATTCTATCAACCAATTCTTTTACTTTGTCGTTCAATAATATGCAATCCCCCAAAAGTTTGTTGACCGATGCACGTAGTTTAGTGGCAGGAGTCTCCATTCCAGGAAACAATGATTTCATTTTGCAGAATGTCAAAATTGATTCTATACTCAATCTTTTTCCACGAACACTGATCTTTAATTCCCGACAAATCTTGCTAACTTCATCGGCGTGCAGCAAGTTTAGTAAAACGAATATGTCTTCTTTATCCATGTTATTTTTAAACATAGATCGTGATACAAGCTCATCAAAGATGGGCTTCAAATCATTGGATATCTCACCGTATTTAATATTGCTTATCCTGTGCCACATATGCTTCCTTTTCAGCATACGTATCAGTAACGCTTGTGCATTTCTTCGAAGAGTGATCATCGAAAACACGAAATCCAGTTCGTCTTGATCGAAATATCCGCAATTGATTGGCTTAGAAAATACAGTAACAATAGCTAAGAAGAAAAGTAGCGAATTCTTATCCGTAGGTACAACTACATCGTTAATTTCGTATTTTGTCGAAACTGTAGTGTCTATGGGATTGTATTCGTAGTTAAATCTCTTACTCGAGTAAACCTTTTCTAGATCAATGTCATTGTTAGCAATGGCTCCTTCTTTGGCTAAATTTAAATTACTTATCGTTGCGGATTTCAGTTCCTCAATTCTATCGTTGAACAATTTCTTTTGCGCTGTCATTGAAGATGGTGACTTATATAGCGTGTTTTTTATTGGAGACGATGTTTTTGGCGTAAACTTTGTACCACTGCATGATGCAGTACGTTGTTGACTTCCAACATATATTATATCATGAGAAAAATGTTCAGTGGTTGGCGACATTATCTTATTTTCTATAATTTTAATTGGACTATTTTCGATTCTATTTTTGGATAATTTAGTTGGACTATACTTGACTTTATCTATGAACAGTTTCCTTCGCGGTATCTTTGCGGGTGGTGATTTGTCTCGCGCGTTTTTTGTTGGAAATGTCTTGGGAGTGGACGTGATGGATTTGATATCACTGTGTGATACAGTACGTCGTTGACTTCCAACATATATTATATCAGGAGAATTATGTTTAATGGTTGGCGACATTACTGTCATATTTTCTGTAATTTTAATTGGACTGTTATACATATTAGTCTTGAAAGAAGATGCCCCACTGCCAAATGAGACATTACCATGTATTCCGTTTTGATTTTTGTTTATTTTATATGGGCTTTGCTTATTCTTATGTACAGGAGTTCTTGAATTGCCTAATACTTGTCTACCTTTCTGTATAAGAAAAAAATAAAATTCAATATATTAATACTCAAATTGTTATCATGTTCATTAGACAACTAATGACAATTATAACTTACCGTCCTTCCAATAATTGGACTTGTAGATCTCACATTAGATGATTTTTTGATGTTACTTTTTACACTTTCAGATTTCTTGTTACTGCTTGTAACTTTATAATACTGATCTATTCTGGTTTGTGCCATCATTAGAGGAAAAATGTTCAGCTTAAAGTCAAACCATCTCTATGATCTGCTGAAAACTAGTGTAAATTACACTATTTACCTCATGCTGATGCCTCAATGGAATAAACAAAAGAGACCCAAGCGCAGACACAACTGCAAGCACGTTCTTGGACACCTGAAGGAACGAACGGAGGGTCACTCTGCATTAACCATTTGCTCTCAATCCTTTTTTATTTCGTTCGTACATTATCCTATCCTTAAAAGTAGAACTTAGTTTAAACCATAGCGTATCGACCAAGGAAATTACAGTATTTACACAGTCCATACAAATCACCGGCGGATACAAGTGTGTCGTTTGTCTAAGCCATACAGATCCAGGATGTGGATCGTGTCGCGACAAAATCTAAGTATCGACGGCGTTTTAATACTCTGTCCCTTGCAACTCTTCCCGTAAGTTTAAAAACTACTGAAGGACGTCCGGGGGTATGTAAAGCCTAGCGAAACGGTAAGTTTCGTCATTTTCGCCTTACCTTAAAGATAAAGATCCAGAAGTCGCGCGTACGCCGTAGGAAAGACTAAAGGGATTGCGAATCTGCGAGACGCGTCTCGATGTCACCTGTATAGAATCAATCACCAACTCGGCGAGCGGGTGTGTGCAGGTATGTGTCACACTGCCGTGTCGGATCCGTCAGATAAGGTTAGATTCTCTCTTCCGCGCAGACGCGCGTATCTTGCTTGGCGGGAAACGAGGGCGGCAAAATGTAAATATAATTTCCCGGTGGGAAAAACCCAGCGATTGAGTAAAGACTCAGCACTTTCGCGATGATTACGTCATCCAATAGACATAAAGTTTATAACGAATTTGATCACTTGGATTACTTTTGGAGAGTGCATATTAAAGTATCTGAAGCGACAAAATAATCAACTTTGACAACAAATAATGTTATATTATTCTGTTGAATAACATGACAATATAATTATTCGATATTTAATAAAAATATTTATGCTTTCACATTTGTAAACTATAAATATTTTAAACAATTAAATTAATAAATTTATTTATAAACTTATTTAATTTAAATAATTTCTAAGTTCATGTATAGCACTAATACTAACTTTTAGTATGCACTAATTTAGTAATACCAGTGATTGCATTCGCTATT